TGTGGGCCGGTTTCAGCCGTTGCCAGGGGTGACTGCATCCTGGAGGTTTTGGGTAGTCTGGCAGCGGCGGATGGTTACCGTCTCGCGCGGATGAATATTGAAGCTCTGCATCAGAATGAGATGTGCGGGAGGAAAGAAAAAGGGAGACACATGAAGGAGAGACGGAGAGGCAGGGAAGGAAAACAGAACATTTGCTCTTTTGCCGCATCCATCTGCTCAGGATGCAGAAATCCATCTCTGTTGTGATTGGTCAACCACTTATAGATGTCCCGCCCCTCAGCCTATAATGTACAATGTGTCATAGCACTAGCAAAAAGAAGCACAAGTGTTACAGAGAGATGTCACTATGTTCTGGAAGTAAACACGGGAGTCCAATAGAGGCGTTTCAGGCAGGGGGGGGGTTGAACTGGAGAGAAGACAGGGATTTTAGCCTTGGCAGACCATTTACATGCACTAAAAACTCTACAAAACACACTACAGGAAAGGAAAACAGCCCTTTAAAATGCACGTGAGAAATGGTATTGTGCAGTAACAGTTTTGTATATGTAGCTCCCTCCAGTAATGACACAAGGCTGAGGTCTTGATTTAAATACGGGGTTTATTCTTGTGGGACCTATTCCAACCCGTGAGAACTGGGTTGTAAGACAAAAAATATATAAAGGGTAAACAATAAATAAATATGGAATATATGCATGTCATCACTACCGCTAAATAAAACAATAAACGGCACACATATCCCACACAGCAAGTAGCACAAGCTAACAATAGCATGTAGCACAAGCTAGCGCATAGCATACATACATATAACCTGCTGCTCAACTACACACATTTAGACAAACAACCAGCACTGCTTGTCATCTAGAGCAGTAGTTCCCAACCTGGGGGGCGCCAAAGATCGCAGGGGGGGGGGGGGGGGCGCCAGGCCTCAGATGATTTGAGGCCAAATATCATATTTAGACTTTCTTTTAAAACTTTTTTTTTACATATAATTGTAACACAATACATGATTGTCACTAAAAGCCTTGCCTCTACATTACAATAAAAAATAATTGATTAATTAGTTTGAATAAAAATTCAAGTTAGTATTAAAGGCATAAAAAGACAGAAATGTATAATTCTTTCTTTAATAGAAATGTTTCTTCTGCCCGTAAAGTGTCCAAACCAGGCTTGTCTGGATAAGCGCATTTTTAAAACATAGTCATTGTCCATGCCGGTTTCAGTTGGATTATTTGTCAGTTGCTCCGATCAGATCGGTCTCCTCCATTTTGTAGATTATTTACGACTTTTGAATCCACATAAACACATCGGCAGAATCCGGCTTACTTTGAGCATGTGTTTTAAACAGTTTAATCCCTTTGTGAATTGTTTCCACTTCCGCGCCGTCCTTTAATTTCTTCATTCAGCGGGAATCCAAATGAATGAATCCTGAGTACAATAACCATCAAAGTCACTCCAATAGTGCTCCTTGATTACGCTTTCATCCTCCTTTAACAAAATACTTCACATTCATCCAGTTTGTGAGTTGTAGCATTGTTGAGACTTTTAAACTTTAATTACCGCTGTTGCCCCCCAAATGACTCCTGTTGGAAGTTGCGCCCCCCCCCCCTTGTGTGTGTGGGGGGTGTGGGGGGGGGGGCGCAACTTCCAACAGGAGTCATTTGGGGGGGCTCTTGGGAAAAAAGGTTGGGAACCACTGATCTAGAGGGGCTGATATCTTTAACTGCATTTTTCCTTAGATTTTCTTTACATTCTGCATTGTGACTTTCAAGTGCGTCGATTAAACAAACAGGTGTAACACAAAACACCGCAGATTAGTTCCGCTTCTATTAATGTTGCACATAAAAGGTAGGAACCAAAAATACAATGTGGAACAAATGAACAACAGAAAGTGAAGACAGTTACAGTTTTGCTTTTGGGAAATAAGTAGATTTTAAAATCCCACTACGCCTGTAGATCAAATGCAGATGTGGTTATTTCCACCTTGTTGTGTTTCTCTCATTACTCAGAGACATGTCAGACTATAATCTCCAGCCTGTGTGTCTGTTGGATCTTTACCAGACCTCGGGCGGTTTGCTGTATCTGCTGAGCGCCGGTGTTCCAGGTCTGCAGCGTGGCCTTTAGCCGTGGCCGTTAAAAAGCCATTGAGGGAATGAGGGGCTTGGCTGCCGGTGCCGTGTCTGTTAATAAATGACCTCTTACTGGAATTAGCAACCAACCTGGAGACAGATGGAGGAGGAAGAGGAGGAGGGTGGGGGATGAAGATGAAGGAGGGGAGACAGGAAGAGGGATGGAGGGAGGAAGAGATGCCATATTCAAAATGTATCTCCATTCATTTTCACTGTCTTTGCCCGTCTTGTGCCTTTACCTGGTTATAACCTGGTGTACTTGTTTTAACTGACAGCCTTTAGTTGGGCCAGATGCTCTTTGCAGTTCGCCTCTTTCAAAACTGTCAATTCATCTGAGGGTTCAGAAATGGTCTGTTTGCATGTTGTTATTTGGACATAAGTACATTTCTAAACGGGTCAAATGTGACTGTGTGAGGAAGGAGCATGACGTGTCTGCAGTGCCACCTTTCAGACAAACACCTGCCGGTAAAAGAGCCTCCTACATGATGAAGTGCTGGAGGCAACTTTGAGGAAAGAAGCAAATATACATCTTGCAGAAAATGTATTTTTTTCTTAATTAATCAGGCGCCGTTTTGTCGTCTAATGGCGTCTGACTGAAGGCCGAAGTGAGTCCATTTAGTGTGCACCTCCTCTTCGTCTCTCTCGTCCTCCTCTTCGTCTCTCTCTCTCATCCTCCTCTTCGTCTCTCTCTCCTCCTCTTCGTCTCTCTCTCTCCTCAGAGCATCCCCTCTGAACGCCCCCTCACTCTCCCCTCCCCTCCTGTTGGACAGACCCTGCCTTACGCCCCCGTACGAGACAGAGCATGGACATTTCCAACTGGTCCCTGGCTGCCTTTACACCAGAGCTTCTCTCACACACACACACACACACACACACACGCACATGCACACACACACACACACACACACACACACACACACACACACACACACACACACAGAGGGAGGCGTGTCATGATGACAAAGATGGCAAAGGAGGCATTAGTGGAAAGAGCTCCTGAGTCACTCCTGTTGTGACCGTCAGTCTAACCTCAGTAATGGATACTTTTAGGTGTAATAAATTGACCTGCAATTTGAGGCGTTCATGTGTCATGATCCGTCCAGAAAGTAAACGACTGCCGATGTCTTTCTTCTCGTGTAGCACAAATACGAATACTGTAGTTTTTCTTAAGATGTGGGAATAGGACATTTGCGAATCCCCCCTCAAGGTCCACTTTGTTTCGAGGTTTTAAACACTCATTATAATCTAGGAAATGAGTCGTAATCATCAGATTGAACTGTAGAAAGTTGGAAAGGTAGCAAGTTATATTATTTAAATACTCGTCCTTGTATGAGTGTACTGTGTACCGATGGTCCAACCCTTACCCTAAAACTCATTCACACAGTTCACTTTTTAAATTAGGTTATAACTTAAAATGTCCAAAGATGTGTCACGATGTGGCCCCAAAGTGTACGACTTCAGATTGATGTTTTCAGTACATACATTTGCCAGTGGCAAACCGTCAGGGCCTTCAAGGTATTCAGAGAATACCCAGGAACACTCAGATAAAACAAACAAAACATCGATTTAATTATATAAATAAAATGTATATAAAATGAATAAATGAGAATCGTATCTGTGTTGTTGATCTGTAGTATTACAGTGATTTGTTTGTCCTTCTCGGACCATGCTCTACGCATTTCAGTGGTTTTGTGTTAGAAAAGAAAGCAACCAATCAGATCTTGTTCTGGGTCTCCGGGTAGAACATCCTTCAACAAGGTATTCTACATCCTTGATCGAATGCCCTGGCCGTTGCACTGAATGAGAGCGTACGTTTGGACTGACAGTTTGATCAACCAATCATATATTGATTTGTAGCCAATGGGCGTGTTCTTCCAGAGTTCCCCTCGGTTCCAGGGTATTCTAGAAGGCCCGCTAGTTAACTGGCTCGAGACAGAGGATCTAGATGAATGCGACGAAGCAATTCATGCCGTTTTATTGTTTTTAACGTTGAAATGGCAAGAGCAACAGGTGGAGATGAAGTTGTTGAGGAATTGTTGTGAGTACCCTTTTCAAGACGACAATTCAGTGAAAAGACGGACAATATAACGCGGCGGGGGGTGTGTGTGTCTACAGAAGGTCCAGTTGTGATAGACACGGTTCGCCACTGACATTTGCCTATGTTATTTGTTGGCCATGAGGGGTCGTGCAATAGGTCGCCATTGTCAGTATGTGCGTCTGTGTATTGTGTTTGTTCAAACGGTGTATGACTGATGATATGTGTATGTCTCTTAATGTCCACTATGTTTGTATATGTACATGTATGCGGAACTGCAGGACGGAGTCCAGAACAAATGTCCTTACGGGGACAATAAAGTATATCGTATCGTATCGTATTTTGTTCTCAATATTTGGGAATCTTCACTCAACATCCACTTAACACATACTTATACAAATGTGCACTGTCATCATGGTGTCTTTGCTCTGTTGCTATTGAACCGTAACAAGTTAGAAAGGTTGCAGGTTGTATTTTGTCAACATCGAAATATTTGTCTTGAATGAGTGTCCTGGTCCATGGTCTAACCCTAAGTACTACTCCCATATACAGTCCTTGTCACTTCTAACTCCTCTCAGTAGGTGGTGTTTGTTCAGGTGTAAATGTTGAAGTGGAAATAATGTGGTTAAAGCAAATGATTTTGTTGTGAACGCATTCATTTATCTTTGCTCAGCAGGTTTATTGTGCCATTGTACAAGCAATGCTTTTAGACAATGTTGCTGCTATAAATCAAACGACTCTCTGGGACCAGTAGGCATGTTTAGAAAGTTTGCAGATTTTGGAAGTTAAAGCCTCCTAAAGTGAAGTTGTTTTCTGTTTTCTCTCCTTCTCTCTTGCAGTATCTTGTCGTCAGTGGGGTCTCAACTCGACCTGAGGACGCTCCGAGCCGTTAGGGTGCTTCGACCTCTCAAACTGGTTTCTGGGATTCCCAGTAAGTGCTTTGCTCTGTGTTTCTGTGTGCACACTGTACGCTTCAACTACTACAGGGGTGTCCGAACTTTTTTCACCGAGGGACACATACAGAAAAATATACGAAGGGCTTGGCCACTCACTAGAGGTGTATTGCCTCATAAGTTCAGTTCAAATCAATCAAATGTAGGTAGAGTATGCTTGTGAGTGTTGGCAGCTCATCCCTTAAAACAGAAGCCTCAGATTGATGATAATAAGGAGATATAGGAAGGGTGTATTTCAAGCTTGTTGTGTAAATAAGTCATTGGGATTATTAACACATGAATACTACTGTGTAATATATGTTTACATATATATTTAAGAAGTACAATATAAGACAAGCACAAGTTTAATTTATAGGGCCGCACTCCATTATACTTTTTTAATTTTTTTATTCGATTCCGATTCAAAATGGTCCACGGCCCGCATTTGGCCCCCGGGCCGTAGTTTGGACACCCTTGAACTACTGTAACCACAGTCTCTGTCATATCTTGAAAACAGTTTGAGATGACTTTATCCAAATGTTTGGCATTTCAACACCAAGTAACATATCACAGACTTCTTTACTCAACAGTCTTAAAAGAAAACTACTATTGATTTGTATTCAAACAGAAATGTAGCTAAGTGCTCATATTGATTCTTGGTTTGAAGAAAGAAACATATCATTGTGTTTCTGTGTTCGAAAGACCCTCTACGCTTCAATTACTGTAACCGCAGTGTCTGTCATATACTGTAAACTGTTTGATATGACTGTAAACCACCTCAAACATAAAAATATATCATAGACATTTTCACTCCAGGAGAATTTGACCAATCCACAATTGTACCAAAGCCACCCTAACCCTAACCATTAGCCAATCAGCAACCAAGGTAACCCCCCCCCCCCCCCCCTTATCACCTGAATCTCCTCTAGAGCACCATTGAGTTATTTGTAACCAAATGTCTCTCGTGGGGCGTGGGGAGGGGCTCCTTATTTTCATCTAAAGTAACAGACAGAGAATCAGCACTTTGGAAACGGGGCTGAAACAGAAGGGATTATGGGTAATGCTGCAATGATCTGCTTGGTGTTTCAGCCAATCAGAGACAGGTTCTGTATATATCCTGTGATATATTGATGAAAAACAGTATGATAGGGGACCTTTAAGCATGTCTTCTGTTTGTGTCCTCCAGGCCTCCAGGTGGTGCTCAAGTCCATTATGAAGGCGATGATCCCGCTGCTGCAGATCGGCCTGCTGCTGTTCGTGGCCATACTTATGTTCGCCATCATCGGCCTGGAGTTCTACATGGGACAGTTCCACAACACCTGCTATGACAAAATATCAGGTAAGACAAACACGGCTGAAATGTGTTTTGTAAGGCTCTCACTAAGGTCTTCTTCTGGTTACTGCATCCATACTAAAACACATTGCTTTGGTATGCTTTTACTGGATACTATAGTGTAAAAAAAGGTGCCCCAATCAGGTTTGTTTGTCACAGATACTTATACACAAGGCTCCATACAGTCTTTTTACACAACCACTCAAAAAAACACTTAAGTCCGTGTAAACTGTCAAAAAGTGTATATCAGAATCGGAATACCTTTTTATTAGTCCAAAAAGGGGACATTTACATTGTTACAGCAGAAAAGAGCCAAAGACAGCTTAAAGTGGACCTATTATCCTATGATGGACAAATATATTGTAGGGACATACCTACAGTATACAAAAAATGTCTGTGAAGTTTTTTGGCTTAAAATACCAAACAGTTCACCCATTGTAGCCATGCCTCATTCTGCTCATACCCCTCTTTTGCAGCCCTGTTAGAGAAACGCGGATTTTGGGTCCTTAGCTTTAAAAAAAAAAAAAAAAAAAGAGGAGGCGGAGCTAATGCCTGATCAGAATTCTATCCTTCTGGACCTGTCTGCTGCATTCGACACGGTGAATCATCAGATCCTCCTTCGCACTCTCCAAGAACTTGGAGTTTCAGGCTCTTCACTTTCCCTCCTCACCTCATACCTCAAAGACCGCACCTACAGGGTTACTTGGAGAGGGTCCGAGTCCGACCCTTGTCAATTAACTACAGGGGTCCCTCAGAGCTCTGTTCTTGGTCCCCTCCTCTTCTCCACAAACTCGCTCGGATCTGTCATTAGCCCGCATGGTTTTTCATACCACTGCTACGCTGACGACACCCAATTAATTCTGTCCTTTCCCCGCTCAGAGACCCAGGTCGTCGCACGCATCTCTGCTTGTCTAGCTGACATCTCTCAGTGGATGTCTGCTCACCACCTCAAGCTCAACCTTGACAAGACTGAGCTGCTCTTTCTTCCGGGAAAAGATTGTCCCACTCTTGACCTGACAATCAACATCGGCACCTCAGTTGTTTCCCCGACTCAGACTGCAAGGAATCTGGGTGTGACCCTAGATAACAACCTGTCCTTCACTGCAAACATCGCTGCTACAACCCGTTGCTGCAGATACACGCTTTACAACATCAGGAGGATGCGTCCCCAGCTGACACAGAAAGCGACGCAGGTTCTGGTCCAGGCTCTCGTCATCTCACGCCTAGACTACTGCAACTCCCTCCTGGCTGGTCTACCTGCATGTGCCATCCGACCTCTGCAGCTCATCCAGAATGCAGCGGCTCGTCTGGTCTTCAACCTTCCGAAATTCTCCCACACCACTCCGCTCCTCCGCTCCCTTCACTGGCTTCCGGTAACTGCTAGAATCCACTTCAAGACACTGGTACTTGCGTACCATGCTGCGAATGGATCTGGCCCTTCCTACATCCAGGACATGGTTAAACCATACACCCCAGCGCGTGCACTACGCTCTGCATCAGTCAAACGGCTCGCTGCACCCTCGCTGCGAAGGGGACCCAAGTTCCCATCAGCAAAAACACGTGGGTTTGCTATCCTGGCTCCAAGATGGTGGAATGAGCTCCCCATTGAAATCAGGACAGCAGATAGCTTACACACCTTCCAGACTGAAAACTCATCTCTTTCGACTCCACTTCGAGCAATAGAACTATTAACAAAGCACAATATACTAATAAAGGACTGGCTTATCTAAAGCCAGTTGAGTAGCACTTGAAATGTTTTGGCTCTATGAAACCTGATGTACTTATATGATTCTGTTTTCTTCAAGGTTGTATCTTGTTGGTCGAATGCACTTATTGTAAGTCCCTTTGAATATAAGCATCAGCTAAATGCAATGTAATGTAAATGTGCCAGAGATAAAGTTAAATTCTGCTGTGATAAAACGCCATCCTGTTCTAAACCACATCAAGGATTATCTCTGAAACAGTATGGAGCTCAAATGCTTTTTCTCTTGCGGGTTTATCACAAGGTGAGTTCCTTTTTTTATTTCCTGCTTTTTAAACACATGTGCTCTACAGTACAGGTTAGCTCTGAGTGTTAGCGAGGCTAGCTAATGTAAACAAAGACGTCAGGCATTGTTTCTGATAGCAACTCTCTGTGGGTCCACCATCCGAAATTACGTCATATCAGCAGCAAATCTGTGTCCGCTCCATGGACCCCCGTTTTTAAAAGATGTGAGTACGGAGGAAAAGGCAAGGCAAGGCAAGGCAAGTTTATTTATATAGCACTTTTCAACACAAGGCTATTCAAAGTGCTTAACAAAAAATGAAAGACATTAAGAAAATGGCATTTAAAATCTGTCATTAAAAAGAAAAGCTAATAAAATAAACATTAAAAGAAAAAATACATGGATAAAAGTTACAGTGCAGTCTAAGATATGAATTGTTCAACTAAACATTAAAAGAAAAAGTATATGGATAAAAGTTACAGTGCAGTCTAAGATATAAATAGTTCAATTCTGACGCTGCGTGAGTTCCCCGACGCACCGGGGACACATATTGATGTATACAAGACATATAAAAGTGCATTTTGCACGATAGGTCCCCTTTAATGTTACCTAAGCATGCATAAAAAAAGTCCTGAAGATAAAAAAAGGGAATTAAAAATAAGAAGTTACACATTTTACAAAAAATACACATCCTGTAACAGTTCTGAGGATTTAGCAGCCAGGTATATATTGCACAGTTTTGAACGGCATATATTGCACATATTGCACGTTATAGATGTCCCTTCCCTAAAGTAAAAAGAATAATACAAAAAAAACCTTAATTGTGTGTTCTCTTCTAAAGTGGACAAAAATTCGGCACAAAAAACACAATTCAAACGATAATGAAATAAAAGGCTGTGTTGATTTTTAATGAAACAAGAAAACTTTAGTACTTCTTATAATATATCATATAATAATATGTTTTATAAGATGCTTAGATTTGAGTTACGACATCTGCTAAATGATTTAAGGAGTTGCTTTATGTAACGGTGGATTCTTCTGTCTTTGATCAGGCGAACAAATGGACGATCGGCCGTGCGGTCACGAGTTGCCGTCGAGACTGTGTACGAACGAGACGAGTTGTGAACATCGCTGGATCGGTCCCAACTACGGCATCACGCAATTCGACAACATCCTGTTCGCCGTGCTCACCGTCTTCCAGTGCATCACCATGGAGGGGTGGACAGACATGCTCTACTTCGTGAGTTAGCCTGATGAATGAGACCCACCTTGCCTTTTTGACTTTTAGAAAGATGTAGTTTGGTTTACAGTACAACATCAACTCTCAGGCACCACACCTCAAGGTTCAAGGCTTTCATTAGTCATACGTACATAGCTACAGTGTAGTTATGACGAGAAAAATCTTAGGTCACAGGCTCCTCCAACAGAGCAACACAATAACACAGAAAAAATTGTCCAAGTAAATACAAAAAAGAAAATAGTGAATTTGTGCAATAATGAAATAGGTAACTAAGGCACCCCACGTACCCTCAATGTCCCGTAATGTTACTTCTTCACACAAGATTGTATTTGGGCTGTAAGTCAAAGTCAACTTTAATGTCAATCTTACTCAGATTGTGTTTACAGACAGAGAGATCGAAATGACGTTTCCAACAATCCCGAATGTAAAATGATACAGTAATACAGATATGTATACAAATATGTATAAAATACGTATATCCTATATACACAATCAACAGACACATTTACACACGTTAAGGTAAAACAAACACAAACACAGTCACTTCAATATCAATAACTTTGGTGCAAGATTGTCCATAAAATGTGCATTTATTGCAGATTGTCCGTAGCAGCGTAAATAGATCAGATCAAGATGAGATAATATCAGGGTTCTTACGGTCATTAAAAACCTGGAAAAGTCATGGAAATTCAAAATGATAATTCCAGGCCCTGGAAAAGTTATGGAAAACAATATTTTTCCCAAAGTTTTGGAAAAGTCATGGAAATCAAATATAATTTATATTTTATCTAATCGCCGAAATAGTAATACTATAATGATAATAAACACTGTATAGTAATGAAACGTAAAATGGCATTTAACTGACGAGGTATTTTGCTGGTGAGAGATTTGAGTTGCTTTAGCTGAAGCTAGTAAGCCTATGCGATTTGTTTTAGAGGCACAACATGTTTCAGATGCAGACCTTATTCTCCTGTTCCATGTTAAAATAAACCATTTTCAGTGGTACCGCTGAGAAAGAGTAATTTTTTTGGTCATGGAAAATTAGGTAAAGGTCATGGAGAAGTCATTGTCTTGTCTTGCCTGGTTTATGCTTTTATGCTGCTGTATTGCCGGTTCGATTCAATTGTGTTCCGTTTTTGTTTTAGCTGTTTTAACTTTTAAATGCACTGTAAGGCGACCTTGGGTGTCCTGAAAGGCGCCTCGAAATAAAACGTATTATTATTATTGAAAATAATTGGTGAAAAAGTGTATGAATCCTGTAAGATGTACTTTATTGACCCCAATTTGGGAAATGATTGCATTACAGCAGCATAAAAACAAGGCATTGTACATAAGAGAGATTAAGAGTAGAAATAACCAATTCTAAAATGTTAACATTTCAAAATAGAAATAGAAATACAAATGAGATACATCGTATTTATAAGATTAACATGCCTTGCTATGTATCGCCATGAACAACGCTCAAAATGATTTACAAACAGGCTTCATACAGTCAATATAATTATTGGAAATACAGTGAAGGAATAAGAGTGTGCTTTGCAGTGTCTTTTGATTATGATCAAATTAGTTAACAATGCTTAACGGACTTGGCTGAACTGATCCTAACATACAGATGTGTGTCTCTTTCAATCAAGATCAGAGGTGTTTTAGGAAGAAACGCTAACCAAGTAGCCACATAGATAAATAGACCAAGGAAAAACCCCAAAAGCTTGGTTTGTTAAGAAAAAAGCCCGCTATGGCCTCATTGAACCAAATGAGAACGATTGTTTTTGAAGCATTGTTGTTGTTGGTCTGAACGCAGCTTTGTGCATAGAGTTTAATCTAAGAAAAGGCCGAAACTAGGACAAATATTGGTCGCTAGTTATTCCTCGTAAACCAATCTGGTCACTTTTCTCTCAGTTGGATAATGTGTCAAGTCATAGTTGTGGTTGTGGTTGTGGTATGGGTTGCCAAATATATTTAGGTAGTGAGAAATTGTCAGCTGATTATACAATGCCAAATTGCTTTCATGTACAGATACAGTAGGTGGCAGGAGGCACCTTTAAAGTGTGTTTGCTATATAATAATCCGAGAGGAAGAAGAAAAACAAACAAGTGCAGAACTCTGACACCCAACATGTATCTACCATTGATAGCAAAGGAAGACAATACAATCACACAAACTATTGTGGAGGTATTTAATCAAAAAACAAAAAAGTTGGAACTTGTTTTGTCACAATTTCAGTTCGGTCCCGTTCGGTTAGAGCTTTTGAATATGAAATAATCTATCTTTGCTGCCTACATCTTAGAGTTGCTAACCCCCAGGTGCATAAACGACATGTTATTATTTAATTTACACAAATTATGTGTAGTTTTTTCATCGGTATCTTGGTTGAGAAACAAGAAATTATCGCTAATCAGTATCAGCTGTAAAAAAATCTCCATATCGTGCATTCCTTGTTTAGGGTATTTATTTAGCGTCCTGAAGACTCGGGTGGGCGTGTAGGTTGGCGATTTGATTGGATTTCATTCAGCTAAATGAGGCATAAAGTAGTTTGAGATTTGATTCAAAACACCATTTGTCTGTCCAAAAGCCATTTTGCGTCCTTCTCTCCCTTTATGGCTCTCTGTTTGACTTCCTTTATCTCATCTGTCCTTTTCTTGCCTTTCCGAGTGGCTCTCCCTCCCCCTCCGCCTCCTTCTCTTCCACTCTCTATTCTGGTCCGTCTCGCTCTATATTTAACATATTTTCTGATGGATGGAGGCTGACTTCCACACTCACACAGGCAGTCAGGAGGAAACCAATGCAAGTTTAATAGAGAACAGGCTGCTTGCACTGTACCATGCAGGATAAAACCCTGCACACGGCACTCCAGCAGCAGATAATAATCAGCTGAGTCCCAGTCACACGCTATATCCTGCAGTCACCTGATGTCTCTGATTGTCAGCTGGCTGCGTTCAGTAAAGAAAAAAGAAGTGACACGGTGTCAGTCAATGTTGTTGCTGTTGACCTGCTCTCCAGACGCCTCGCTGCAATCGATGTTTGTGGAGCAGGAGATGCAGGAATGTGACGCTGCACATGAGGCGACTAAGTTGTTGTTTCTGCATCCAAATACTTAGTCTCTGCTCAGGATGTAAAGGTAGAGCCACTCCTGAACCATTCTAACCTTAACCCTAATCCAGCATTATACATATAGTTCCCTTCAATAGTGTTTTATTGTCAGAGTTTATAGATTTGGTGGTATAGTGGCGAAGTCCATAGGGACTTGGCTTGGCAACTGGAAGGTCACCAGTTCAAGTCCTGGAAAGACCAAGCGCTACCGAGGTGTCCCTGAGCAAGGCACCGTTCCCTACACGGCTCCCCGGGCGCCGTACGTAATGGAAGCCCACTGCTCCTAACACTAGGATGGGTCAACTGCAGAGAAACCGTGTCGTTACGTAGTACCTGTACTACGTAATGACAATAAGTTGAATCTGAAATCTTAAATTTGTTATCTTTGTAAAGGAATATTTTGGTCTTGTTAAAGTATATAGAGTTTAGTGATTTGTCCTCGGGAATCTGTTTAATGGTTAAAGTGTATTCCTGCCTGTAATGTGATCCATAGCTTCTCAGGAAGACACAGGTCAAGAGGTCATCTGATGTCTTGTGGGGGAGAAGCTTGGCCCATGTGGGTTTACAATGCAACGAGTCTTTGTCTCGACATCTGGCATGCATTAAAGGAAAACCCGCGTGTTTTAGGGCCCTCCTCTTCTTGTCTGTATAGTTGGGTGCTTGGCGCTTTTAGAGTTCAGAGTTTGCTGGGATCTTACATGAGAACTGTGATATGCTGTGAACTCTCCGGCCGTTCAGGCTCTCAATAAATATCAGTGTATTGACAGGCGAATCCAGTTTCCCTCATTTGATGATGCGCTCAACATTGCTGCAAAGAAGTTTTTACTTCACAATCTTCACAGTCTTCTGTATATGTTCTACTTTATAATGCTGTTTTAATTCTATTTTGAGATGTTTAATGTTTAACAATGACTTGTTTTAGTTTTTTATGCTGCTGCAACGCAAAAATGTCCCAATTTGGGATAAATAAATACCTCTTATCTTATCTCCTTGGTTGCTGTGCAGTACAGATAAAGTCGAAAACTAGAAGACGTTAGCACGCAAACAGTTTTAAAAAATCTGCCGTGAACATGTTTTACACGAAAGAAAATGCATTCAACCGTTTTTGTTAGAATTCAAAGATACAAATTGTATTTTGGTGAGAAAATGATTCAACATGTATTACTATATTATATTACAGTTTGCATATTGAGTTTTGTTAGGAAGTTAAATACATCATAGTTCTGTAAAGTCTGTTATGACCGGCTCGTAGGCCACAACAGGAAAAGAGAGAGAGACGTTCGAGGGTTCCAAAAACCACGGCACATTTATTGTGGCGATTCCAAAACAACACCAAAAACATGAGAGGGTGGGCGAGGGGAAAGGATCCCGGCGAGAGTCTTCCCACAGCGGGTCACGAAGGCCATGTGAATCCGGGCAGCTGGGCTTAAGTAGCACCTCGGCTCCGGCCAGGTGTCCCCAGTCATGCTGATTGGCCTCCACCCCATCACACGACCTGCAACACACCTGCACACTCGCAGGCCACAGGCTCTGGGGCCGTCACAAGTCTATGGCTGCAGTCGAATAGTCCATTTAGCTTAGGAACCTTCCTAACGGAGTCGAAATGACCCGGAAGTCCCTCACTGGCAGCCATGATAAGTGCTGTTCGAATTCTCTAAATGAAAGGAAAGGAGGTTTCAAACTTCCTTTATAACCTCCTTTAGCTTAGGAACCACTGGACCTCCCTAACCGAAAGGAGAGGAGAAAATGCTGCCCCACAATGCCTTGCGGCCGCAGCATTTGCCGTCACTCAACAGTCGGCCGTTCACGGAAACAACCGATTATGACAGAGAAATGATATCATGAAAGTTACGGTGCTTATTAAGCATTTTAAAACGTATGTGGTAAGTTGCCAAAGTGCTTTGTTTTGAACGTTCATCAGTGTTATAATCAAAAAGAGAAATATGAACGTTAGTTTTTACTGAAATGATCAAATAAAGTCAACATCTCACAGTCTTTACTGAGCTGTTTGGGGTTTGTTCAACTTTTAAAAGATGTTTGAATGGTGATATATACAGTGATAGATGTTAAGGACTAACGTTTATAATAAATACATCTGTATTGATTTTAAGATCTTTTCATCAATCATACGTATTGGGATCATTTGTATTAATGTGGACCGGAGGGAGAGGGTGACGAGCAGAAGCTTCACTTTCCTTTTTTATTTCAATTCCAACTTTGGTCCTGAAGAATATGTTTCTCTGTTGTCCACGTTCATAAAGCATAAAGCATCAGAGCACGGTGCAGAGTCTCTAGATGAGTCCCTCGTTCGTTTTGAACATCCATGTTGTAGTCCGCTGTATAGAAAACTGTAGTTTCCATGGTTACCCCACAGCAGCAGACGCACATTCATGACGTCCGCTGGCGCATCATAAACACGTCGGATAGTAAAAGTGCATTCGGATTCTCTAAAGTACCGCAGTCTCTTCTCCTAAGTCCTTTTGAATTCTCCTATCCACTATCCCTTAACCCCGTGACGTTTCACTCAGAGGCAGTGGCGGCGCCAGGGTATGGCTGGGGTAGGCTACAGCCATACCAAGAAATGGCTTAGCCCTACCTTAGCCCTACCATGAAAAAGTATGTTAAAGTAAGCATGTTGAGAACACGGATTGTGAAAATCTACCGGTCGTGTCCATAACACACAAACTGATCCTGCTGTAACAACAAGTGCACGTTACTGACGCTGGTTGAGACCATTCGGGCTTATGCTAGAGGGGTGCAAGGAATAGTCTAAGTAGTGGGGGAGTTTTATACACTAAAGGTGTGGACATTCTCTCGCGTTATAATATCAGCGCGGCCGCGGTCAGATCAAAATGCCTCCGAATGCAATTTGAACAGACCTACAGCCAATCAGAGCAACGAAACGTTGGGTCTGCTGCGTCATGCATTACTGATTCGTCACGTTCACAGTGAAAAGTCCCCAAACTCGCGCCGAGTAAATTGCAGACAGACAGCAGAACTTCTAGGATTAATTGTATATTTCGGATGGATAGATTTGTTCTTAAACGCCCTCGCATTGTGGTACAAGTCGAACAGGTGCCAGTGTCACACGACCCACCTGAAGAGTGAATAGTGAGTTTTCAATATATTTTGTAATAATGGGTCATTTGAAAAAGTGTTTTGTATGACAATAGAGTCAGGCCACCTGTGTTCTGTCTCTCTCTGTTTACCTGTGTCTCTGTCTCTCTCCCTCATTCTCTCTCTCTCTCTCCCTCTCTCTCTCTCTCTCCCTCTCTCTCTCCCTCATTCTCCCTCTCTCTCTCCCCTCTCTCTCTCCGTGTCAATTCTATATGCCAACTTTTCTTGTTTCTGCCGCTGCGTATGTTGTAACACCATGGAATTAGCAGAATAGGCTATTGTATTGTTTAACTCACACCTGTTGCTCTCGATGTAATTTAGCTGATAAAAGGAGACTAATAAAAGCTAATAAAAGCCTCACGCTTGGCGTTTCACTGTCAACGGGTGTGATATAGCGTGTATGTAAATCATTACAAATACTGACTTGAGCCCCACCACTGTATGGGTTAGCCCTACCATAGATTACCCAACAAAAATACTCTGGCGCCGCCACTGCTCAGAGGTCAAGGAATAGGAGATAGGGTTAGAATTTAGGAGCTGATTTTTGGACTATTCGACTGCAGCCTATGTTAGATTGCTTAGAAAACATGTTCTTCCATCCACAAATAGATCAAGCTTCTTACCTTACATTTAAACAATGCCAATTTAACTTATTGTACTACTCATTTTTACTGAACTAAATAGAAACTACGTTAGCATTGTAATCTAGCCAAGCAGGACTGTGCTGCCTTCAGGCTGATAACAGCTAACTTGAATGCTCTTCTTGCTGAACATGGATTTGTTGTTATCAATGTAGCCTTATCAGAGAAAATAATAGAGTTCTTACACACTGAAGAAAATTAAGTTATGTACCATCACCTTTACAGAATGTTAGCATTGATTGACATTGATACTGAAGCATGGGTTCTCGTGACTTTGGTACAGGAAGTATTTAGAGCTAAAAGCATGAAGTAATAAACCCTCACCAAGACTGTTTTATACTGAGGTGTAGTCAGTGCATATCATAGATAACATATAAAACAAAGAGGAAAATAGTCTGTGTAGAAGTAGAGCGAAGGTTCATTAAAAGTGAAGAATTCTCGAACGTTCAGGTTGTCAAAAGTCTTAATTTAAATCCCATTTTACATTTTAGATGACCACTAATACCTCTGTCTCTCTTTCCCCCCTGCAGAGTAATGATGTGGGAGGCAGTACCTGGAACTGGATGTACTACATCCCCCTCATCATCATCGGCTCCTTCTTCATGCTCAACCTGGTGCTGGGTGTTCTCTCAGGGTACGACACTTCACCTCATTTTCACAATTTCTTCCCACATAGAACCAGAGATGGCAAAAGTACACACAAGTACTGACTAAACTTCTTTACTCAAGTGAAAGTAAAGAGGCTTTGAAATGTACTTCAGTAAAAAGTACCCATAACTAGCAGCTGCTTTAAAGAGTACCTGACCTCCCTTTATATTAATAGAACAATAATGTCATTGTTAGCTAATGAATGTTTCCATGCTGAACAACGGCAACATGACAACGTTTCCATTGGTCCCTCTTCTTTAGAGAAGACCAGGTGTTACGTCCCCCTCTAGGGTAGAGGAAAACAACACACACCAGAATGGATTTGGTAATAATTATAATAGGGTTTAATAAATAACAATGAAGGTGTACAACAAGATGAAACAAAAATAGCCTAAGCCAAACAAAAGAGCCAAAAGGGCGCAAATCTACTGCTAGAAACAGAAGGAGGACTCTAGAAAATGAGCCTAGTTGACACACCTGAGATCACTTCCAGTCAACACTAATTTGAAGGAGGCTGCAGGTAAACGCAGTTAACAACAGGGAACAAAACATGCTACTCTAAACACATAACAGAACACGCTAAACACATATCACCACACGCTACTCTAAACACATAACTTAACACACAACACTAAACACAGTTCAGAAGAGTCAAAATACAATCTAGCTTTAAGGTTAATGTGTCCACACAGGAGCAAGATGTGTGAGGCGTCTGATTGCAAGAGAGCCTCCGGAGTGATAGCTGTCCCCAAGCTTTGTAGCATCATCTCTGGCAGGTGTGAGCTGGGATGGCATGGGGATTGGAGTGCGTCGGGCCCGGCGTGCTCCAATCAGTATCTTCGGGGGCGGAACCAGGAATTGGTAGCCAATCACGTTGAAGCAACCACACAGCTCATTTACAGGATAGCAAAACAGGATTAACAGGACCGGAGAGGCGACAGCCGTCACACCCCCCCCCCCCCCCCATAAAACACAAACCCACAGGTTTTGTGAAACTACACACACTACGAACCCATCGAATAACACCAACCAACCTGGACATGTCATCGGCCAACACTCTCTCTTGCGGCTTTCACACCAGCGCTTTTCCCTTTCTAGCTCCGAGCTAGAGCTTTTCTGGTTCAGCTCCGGTTTCCCTTTTCTGCTCCCGCTCTGTTCACACCGCCCAGCACCCGACTGGTGCTGCCGCTGCTGCGTCATGACGTCACCGTTTACATCGCTGATTTGCTCCCCAACGGCATTACGGCGCTCACAACAACAACAACGGGGAACTGCGTCGGGTCGATGATCGTGTTGCTTTTAATCACACGAAGCCAGAATAAATTGAATAACGACTTCTCCAACCTTATACTTTGCTCCAGAGTGCCGTGGTTCATTGTTTATTAATGTGTTTCTGCAGCATTTACCGACCGCTGCAGTGTTGGCTGCTCTTCCACGGGAGTTTATTCTCCCGTTAGCTCCCGGTTAGCTCACACTGCAGCGGCCGCTCTAAAGTATTCACTGTCCGACTCACACAAGCAGCTGATACATATCCCCAGTTCCCCTTAAGTGAATGTGTGTCAGTCTGAATTGACGCTGTTTGGCATCACAACGCTGTTATGAAAGTTTCTCTGGTATACAATGGGTGATGTTAGCATAGCAACTGAAGCTAAACTGACTACTTGCTATTGCTATCCTATTGTGGCATAAACCGTTTTCTACAGGCACATTTTACCGGCGTATTTTTATTATGATTCTACTTGTGATAGTCGGACACGACAACCTGTGCAGCCCATGTATTGATCATTCCATCCGATAGCTGCTATAATACAAAACAAAACGTCTGCCTCTCTCCACAATGATCAATAACAGTGAACGGATGGTCAAAGTAAGGTACAAATAAACAGAATCACACGAAGCCTGGTTAGTGTTGCCTGACTTTATAAGTGTGTTTATAAGCACTACTGCTTGTAGGCAGGCATGACAGTCGACCCATGTTCAGGGGAGGAGGGTTTAGTTTCCTGCACGCCTCGACGTAAGAGAGACATAAGCGACGCCACCTCTTAGCTCCGAAGCTCTTGCCTCTAGACCGACAATGTTTTGGAGCTGGAAGTGAACCCGATTCCGGAGCTAAGAGCCGGCGCCGCTGCGGTGTGAACAGGAAAAACCGGCGCTTTTCAGCTCCAGCTCCGAGCCGGAGCTGAAAAAGCGCTGGTGTGAAAGGGGCATCTGAGCCCTTTTATATATCTAACCTGGTAGTCCCGCTCGATAAGAGCCCATTGCGTGAGCCGCTGGCGGTGCCGGTACAGGCGAGTCCATAACATGAAGGGATCGTAGCAACTACACATCACAATTAACGAAAAGCTAGATCCCACACAAATCTCAAGGTACCGTAAGACTAACAATAGATCGAAGATGACTAACTGATAGCCTAGCAGACACTCTCGGATTACCGGGAGAGTCGGTCTGGCGGGAGGCGTGTCTGAGCCGGCATGTTGCGCTGGTCTCACGACATCCTCGTGAGAAGAGGAAACCACATCTTCACAGCTTCATCTAGAAGCATCGGCACAAACATAGTATCAGACAATGTCACATCTGAGTCAGTCTTACGCCCCTGTGCACATGTGACTGCACAACTAGGGAAAATGTGAGTTTTTATTACCTCAGGTGACCCTGCGGACTGAGGGGCGTCCATTACTTCCAGTGCAGGAGTCACCTTACCACCCGCAATATCGTTTCCCATTACCTCGTATAGGTAACGCGGGATACACAGCAACAGGGGGAAAAAATGGTGACAAATCTTGACTGCACATGTACAGTGTGTACGGGCCGTGGAACATAACCAATCTCAATGCCACTTAGTATGGAGCCATAACCACAGGCTGACTGGTCAGAAAGTGGCAGCGCAGAGGCAACTATCACAGACTGTGACCCTCCAGTGTCTCGCAGTATATGCACGGGTCTCTGATCGGCAGGCTTACCAGTTAAAGATATCAACCCATCAAATATGAAGGGCTTAAAACAGTCATCTATCTCGTCAGTATCAGTTGTAGGATTAGTAAGTGACTCTGCTTTAATTAAGCCGATGCCTTTCGGCTGGGACATATTTTGTGGCTGCTCCCTACGCTTCAGAGTCTCACCGTTTGCAATGACGTGTCCAGGCTGGTGACAGTAATAGCACTCTCTCTCCTCTTTTTCCACGTTATACACATTCGATGGCTGAGTAAAGGGTGCAGCTGTCACCCGGCGGGGTTGATCAGTAAAACCCGGAGAAAACACAGATTTGTTGGTAAGCACATACTCGTCAGCCAACACAGCTGCAGCTGAGAGTGTATTCACTTTCTGCTCATTTAGGTACACCACAATGCGCTCGGACAAACATTTCTTAAATTCTTCCATCAAAATTAATTCTCTCAGAGCACCATAATCCGCGGCTTTACAGGAAGCAATCCACTTCGCAAACATCATTCCCTTTTCTCTGGCAAACTCCACATGGGTTTGATTAGGACCCTTCCAATGGTATCTAAATGTCTGCCGGTAAGCTTCGGGTACGAGTTAATACAGTCTGAGGATGGCAGTTTTAACGGTATCATAATCAAGACTTTCCTCCAAAGAAAGAGCAGCCACTGCTTCCTGAGCTCTCCCGTGAATTCTACATTGCACCAGGAGAGCCCGCGATTCAGCCCGCGATTCAGCCCGCGATTCAGCCGGCCACCGCAGCGCTGCAGCAATGCGCTCAAATGCGCCAAAATACGCATCCACTTCAGTCTCCCTAAAGGTTGGCACTAATGAGAGATGTTTACTCACATCAAAGGCAGGTGGATGAGGGCCGGCGGCCAGGGCAAAAGCTCCGGATGCGTGCAGTTGCGAGTCCAACTCCAGCTGACGCAACCTGACTGCTTTGTCAGCCTCAATCTCTAGCTTGAGCTTCCTTATTTCCAGCTGAAATTGTATCTGCCTGCTCTGCTCTTTGTCTGTTGCCTCCAGCTGAAGACGTGCAAGACGGACCTTTAGTTTAGCCCCCTCTCGGGACTCCACTGAGCTACCAGGGGATAGTGCTTCATGGCGAGGCGACTTGAGCGGTGGTGTAAACCGCCTGTCGTCCTCACTGTCCCCACCCTCTCCCTGAGCAGCTGAAGGCTCCGCCTCAAGCTTCTGTGTCTCCCAATCTTCCATTAATGCATCAGACAGTGCAGGCAACACAAGATTACCCCGTTCCACCAACTCATCCACAATGACCACCTTTAAATCTGCTTTTAATAACTGCTTTGCCCCAGTGAGACTGAAGTGTTGAGCAATCTCTAACAGGTCTTCCTTACGACACTGATCTAGCTGCTTGACTGAAGGACTGATTAAAAAGGACTTCAAATTAAACGATGCCATACCCAGGTGAACTGCACTCAAGCTTTTACCCAATTGTTACCACCAAACCCACTTATAACCCCAGAATTCAGATGAATAGATCCCGGACGAGTCCCCAAGTATGTTACGCCCCCCTCTAGGGTAGAGGAAAACAACACACACCAGAATGGATTTGGTAATAATTATAATAGGGTTTAATAAATAACAATGAAGGTGTACAACAAGATGAAACAAAAATAGCCTAAGCCAAACAAAAGAGCCAAAAGGGCGCAAATCTACTTCTAGAAACAGAAGGAGGACTCTAGAAAATGAGCCTAGTTGACACACCTGAGATCACTTCCAGTCAACACTAATTTGAAGGAGGCTGCAGGTAAACGCAGTTAACAACAGGGGAACAAAACACGCTACTCTAAACACATAGCAGAACACGCTAAACACTAGTGCTGGGGGGAAACGATTATTTTGAAAACGATTAATCGGGCGATTATTTGATCGATTAGTCGACTAATCTAACGATTATTTTTCTGTTGTTCAATTCATAAAAGACGTAATGTAAAAAAAAAAATGTTCACGATACTGTGTCTCAGGGGATCTTAATATTTAAGAACCTATTAATGTGTTATACCAGATTAACGGAAATAATCTCAGCTAATTGACGATACAAACCATGTTTACCAAAACAAAACACAAGTCTCATAAGAAGCATCTAAATGACCCCTGAGCGAAAAATGCTAACGGGCATTGGCACTGAACTCAAGATAAAAGTACCCTTATTACTTATCGTAGCTGCACATACAATATATCCGATTAAAGCTGAGACTCCACAGATTATGTAGGTACATAGTATCATCACTGAGTGATCCGGACTCGCGACAGGGGAAGCAAATACAGTCATCACAACACGTACCTTCACAGAGCTTCTAGGGAGATCGTCACACCGCCGTAGCTGTCAATCTGATCAAAATACATGTTCAATGGCATTAAAATGAGAAGAAACGCGGCTGAATCGGTTAATCCATAGGTTCTTAACGTCTATGTATAAAAAAAATGATTGAATTTATAATCCATAATTCCATTTTTATGTAAAAATCGGAGAGCAAATGCTAGCTGCTAATGGTAGCCACCACAGCTAGCTGCTGCTTCCGGTCTAGGCTATGCAGCAGTCTCAGTGAGATATAAATATATAAATATCTTTGCATTTTGGACTAACTTTAAAATATTCCCATGCTTTTGAAGACCTAGGGCGAGATGTTTTCGTTTGGGGGCTTCGTGCGCAATCCTGTGAGGAGGAGGTGGTAGCCGTTTCAGTCTCCATTGTGTTTGAAGTGCGATTGCAAACTGCTTGTTACTTTGGGTGACCCACGTGTGTGTAGCGACGCGTCGACGCGGAAATATGTCGTCGACGATATTTTGAAGTCGACGCGTCGCTACAGCACTACTAAACACATATCACCACACGCTACTCTAAACACATAACTAAACACCCCTAACACACAACACTAAACACAGTTCAGAAGAGTCAAAATACAATCTAGCTTTAAGGTTAATGTGTCCACACAGGAGCAAGATGTGTGAGGCGTCTGATTGCAAGAGAGCCTCCCGAGTGATAGCTGTCCCCAAGCTTTGTAGCATCATCTCTGGCAGGTGTGAGCTGGGATGGCATGGGGATTGGAGTGCGTCGGGCCCGGCGTGCTCCAATCAATATCTTTGGGGCGGAACCAGGAATTGGTAGCCAATCACGTTGAAGCAACCACACAGCTCATTTACAGGATAGCAAAACAGGATTAACAGGACCGGAGAGGCGACAGCCGTCACACCAGGAAATGATGGATACACGGATCGTGTTCAAATCAATAGGAAGGCAATGACTCTAAATAATAATGATCACGCATCAAACACACATTCAAACTAAAGGTACCAGCTGTTTGGAAAATGTGAGAAGTAGAAAGTACAGGTATTTGTGTTCAACATGTAAGAAGTAGAAAGTACAGGTATTTGTGTTCAACATGTAAGAAGTAGAACGTACAGGTATTTGGGTTCAAAATGTAAGAAGTAGAAAGTACAGGTATTTGAGTTCAACATGTAAGAAGTAGAAAGTACAGGTATTTGAGTTCAACGTGTAAGAAGTAGAAAGTACAGGTATTTGAGTTCAACGTGTAAGAAGTAGAAAGTACAGGTATTTGTGTTCAACATGTAAGAAGTAGAAAGTACAGGTATTTGAGTTCAACGTGTAAGAAGTAGAAAGTACAGGTATTTGTGTTCAACATGTGAGAAGTAGAAAATACAGGTATTTGTGTTCAGCATGTAAGAAGTAGAAAGTACAGGTATTTGAGTTCAACGTGTAAGAAGTAGAAAGTACAGGTATTTGTGTTCAACATGTGAGAAGTAGAAAATACAGGTATTTGTGTTCAGCATGTAAGAAGTAGAAAGTACAGGTATTTGAGTTCAACATGTAAGAAGTAGAAAGTACAGGTATTTGGGTTCAAAATGTAAGAAGTAGAAAGTACAGGTATTTGTGTTCAACATGTGAGAAGTAGAAAGTACAGGTATTTGAGTTCAACGTGTAAGAAGTAGAAAGTACAGGTATTTGTGTTCAACATGTGAGAAGTAGAAAGTACAGGTATTTGAGTTCAACATGTAAGAAGTAGAAAGTACAGGTATTTGAGTTCAACGTGTAAGAAGTAGAAAGTACAGGTATTTGTGTTCAACATGTGAGAAGTAGAAAATACAGGTATTTGTGTTCAGCATGTAAGAAGTAGAAAGTACAGGTATTTGAGTTCAACATGTAAGAAGTAGAAAGTACAGGTATTTGGGTTCAAAATGTAAGAAGTAGAAAGTACAGGTATTTGTGTTCAACATGTAAGAAGTAGAAAGTACAGGTATTTGTGTTCAACATGTAAGAAGTAGAAAGTACAGGTATTTGGGTTCAAAATGTAAGAAGTAGAAAGTACAGGTATTTGTGTTCAACATGTAAGAAGTAGAAAGTACAGGTATTTGGGTTCAACATGTAAGAAGTAGAAAGTACAGGTATTTGGGTTCAACATGTAAGAAGTAGAAATTACAGGTAGTTGGGTTCAACATGTAAGAAGTAGAAAGTACAGGTATTTGTGTTCAACATGTAAGAAGTAGAAAGTACAGGTATTTGGGTTCAACATGTAAGAAGTCAAAGTAAAAAGTCGTCAGAAAGATAAGTCGTGGAGTAAAGTACTGATACCAGAAAAATTTACTGAAGTACAGTAACGAAGTATTTGTACTCCACAACTTCCCACCTCTGTATATCCCACTGCATACTTCTCTACGCTCTGGATTGTTTATATGTTTGTGTTTTGTTTGATTGAAATGAGCTAAATGTCATACTGATAATGTGTCCAACAGGGAATTTGCCAAAGAGAGAGAGCGGGTGGAGAACCGGAGCGAGTTCCTAAAGCTGAGGCGACAGCAGCAGATTGAGAGAGAGCTCAACGGATACTTGGAGTGGATCTGCAAAGCAGGTCAAGACACACACACACACACACACACACACACACACACACACACACACACACACACACACTGCTCATTGTAGAAAAACAACTGAATAGAAATGCGGTGTATTGACGTCTTACTCCCCTTATGTTCAGAAGAAGTGATCCTGGCTGACGATGACGTCCCTGGGAACTTTGATGGTAACTAACCATCATTTGTTTACTTTAAGTGAGACAAAATAAAATGTTCAGACAGTATCAAGACAGATATAAATAGAGATATTGGAAATCAAAAAAACATTTATCATAAGAAGACGTTCAATTTGTAGAAATATAACAGCAGAAAAGGACTTGATACTTATTGTATGACTACAAATCTAAACGTGCTCTTCTTATTGGCTGGTTTGGTACATACTGTATCTTAGCATTGTCTTTAGCTAGCAATGCTAATCACTGCTGGAGAGA